CTTTCCACTCTGGGATTTTTTTTTAAAGAATAGTAAATCAACATTTACTCAAAAAGACAGGGGCATCATGATTGGTGTAGGAACCACTGCATAGGGTCTTGCAGTAAAAAAGGGAGATTTGATTGAACTCTGATGTCAAAAGGGACAAGTGGTGATTAATATTCAAGGGGCAGGGTGGGCTCAGTAGATGGAAAATTACTAAGAGAAAACATCAAGGTCACCCGTTGGCTCAGTTGGTTAGAGCGCGGCTCTGAACAACAAGGTTGCCATTTCCATTCGCACATGGGCCAGCGAGCTGCACCCTCCACAACTAGATTGAATGACAACGACTTGGAGCTGATGGGTCCTGGAAAAAATGCACTGTTACCCAATAAAAGTTAAAAAAAAAATCAAAGCTAAAGAGGTTTTTTGTTAGACCTACTAACAAAATTCTTGCTGAATCCAGGACAAGGTGATAGGCTATCTAGAGTGATCACATACCAAGGATGGGGAGTTTCACTGAACGGACTTGACAGGATTCTTTTTCTTTTTTTTTTTTTTTAAGATTTTAATTGGGGAATTGGGAGACGAAACAGCATTGGGGAATTGGGTAAGGGGAAAAGACAAGTTGCTGTCCTTTTGTTCTTCAGTCTAGTTCTGGAGGATGTTGCTTCATTGATCCATGTTGGTATTATCATTGTGCTCTTTTTGGCTGAGGTAGATCGTTCGCTGGCCATTGCACAGCCGCTCAAACCAGCTCATGACAGCTGCTGGCTGCTCATGATGGCTACAGGCTACTCACCTTAGTTTACAGCAGCCAACTGCAGCCCCACTGCAGCCTATGCTGTTGCCGGCTCCAGGTTGAGCCATTGTTCACCATCTTAGCTGTAGAGAGTGAAGCGTCACTGGCCCATGTGGGATCCGAAACAGCGGCCCTGCTGCTCAGAGCTCGCGCTCCCAAGCCAACTCTTAACCAACAAGCCACTCAGCCTCCCCATGCAGGATGCTTACTTAAACTGGATTCTCCATGGACAAAGCGGCAAGCCCAAGTTCAGGCCTAGTCCAACAGAGTGTGTTTGTCAGTTAGCCCTGTTGTTCAATGAACCAAGAGACATTCCTCTTTTCTGTGAATAATATGAAGGTCTACTTCTCATCTGGTTTTCCTTTCGTTCACTAAGGACCAGCTGAACTATTTTTTGGGACTTGGTTGTAGAGGATATTTCCTGGATGCTTCAAGGAGTTAGGCATCTAATTATGGGAACTTCTATGAAAAGAAAAAGAAAAAACAAAGATTAACGGTTGGAGCAAAATCCCATTCTCAGTCTGGAGGGCAGTCCATCAAGGTTTCTTGATATTGGGCTCCAAGTATCTTTTGCATTTTAAATCTTTGCTGATGGCATTGAGTGTTCTGATAAACTTGCTTCGTGGCACACACAACACCAGGCACAAATGTTGCCCATATAACATCTGCTGTGGTGATTTCTTAGAAATTTATAAGTTTAAATCATCCAGGTTCCATTGTAGGCCATAAGAAAAGGTATTCTCCATTCTTAGTGATTCCAAATCAGAAGAGTGGGAGAAATTTGGAAACATTAACTTGGAGAGACATGTCCAAATATAGGGGAAACTAGAAGAATTCAGGATCCAGTTTGACTTGCAGGCTTTTTAATACTTTCAACATGTTCTCAAAAACTGCTTTTGGTACTTTCATAAAATTTCAAAACAGCTTCACACTTACAGAAATGTCACAGGTACAGCACATAGTATTTTCCCCTCTGCCCCTTTTGAGAGTAAGTTGATGACATGAAGTTTTACCCTCTAAGACTTTGTACTGTGCATTCTCTCCAAAAAAAGACATTCTTTTATATAACCAATACAACCGTGAAATAAGGAAATCAGCATTAATATATCAAACCATCTATCCTCTGCCTATTTCAAGTTTTGACAAATGTCCCACCACTATCTTTATAACAAAAGTACTCAGTCTAGATTCACATGTTGCCTTTACTTTTCACATCCTTTTAGTCTCCTTCATTCAGGAACAGTTCATCATTCTTTCCTGGAACTTAATTAACTTAACACATTTGAAGATGAATATCAATTATTTTGTAGGATGTCCCTAATTTTGGACTTGTTTGATTTTCCCTTGTGATCAGATTCAGCTACTGCATCTTTGGCAGGAATATCTGAAAGTGATGGTTGCTCTTCTCACTGCATCCTATTAATCGTCCAATATTCCAATTTGTCCCATTACTGATGATGCCACTTCAATTCCTGGATGAAGGTGGTGTCTGCCAGACTTCTCTGCTGCACAGCTGCTCCTTTATCCTTTGAAATTAAATAAATTCTTTTCAGAAGTTCTTAATACTTTATGAATGTACTATTCCTCATCAAAGTGTTAGCATAAAGTCATGAGTTCATACTTTCTTCAATAACTTATCATCATAATTTATTTTGATTCTCAAAATTTCCCAGATTTGATAAATGATAGTTCATTCCAAATGGCATCTCTTTACCTCATCATTCTTGAGCACTTAATTTCTGGCCCAAATTATCAGGAGTTATTTTGTATTTTTTCTGTTCTAGACCTGGATTGAGGCATTTTTCCAAATACTACTGTATTTTTTTAGTGGAATTAGTATTTAGAAAACAAGATCTGGGAACAGTGGGTGCTCTTGGGATGTGAGTGTCATTGGTACTAGGATAGGAAAGGTTTATGTGTATATATATGTATATATATATATATATATATATATATATATATATATATATATCCTGATATCTTTCATTTTAGTCCCAAACAAGTTTATCCTAGGAATTTC